ATTCGAAAATTGTACCTGCCGACTCGTAATATGACGTGTGTAGCAAACGCCGGAGGTTGCAGCACGGCTGTATACAGTATGGTCGCCTGCAACAGACGACAATGTTGAATGTATTATTTAGGTACCCGTCGACGAAAAAACTCGCAACCGAGTTGGTTGAACGACGAAATCGTTAACGGAAGGCGACGCGAAATCGGTTGGTATTAGATCAAGGCCGCACAGTAATGTCACACATTTCTTTAGTAATCGGTTATGACTACAGACTCAAACCGAATTGGCGTATTCCATATTTTCATACTATTATTTGACGCAGTACAAGTGGAGGAACTGTGGCCCCCAGTGTCCTCCCCGACGGTTATAAAAAGTTTGGGTGCACATCAGTCCATCTTGACCCTTCTAAGTTATTCGTTGAAATCATGATTGAAATATACCGCTATTCAGTGGCGGCTTGGATCTTCACAAACAACCCACCAAATACATTTACCAAGACCAATTTAATATTTTTAGGTTCTTTTTTAGTTAAATTTTTTATTAACTTTTACAGTTTTAATTTATGATATAGATAAACTTATTTTTTACTTGAATGATCATCAATCTTCTGTTATGAGTTATAAATAAACCTGTTGAATTTAAAACATTTTGTTCCCCGATTTTCGGAACAGGGGCAGTCGCTCCCAATATTCTTATAGCAAGCCGCCCCTGCCGCTATTTATTCGGTTCTATGGAGTATAGACTACAGCCGTAGCCGTTGTATAGGATTTATTGTACTTATATATTATTCATACTACTTACATATTTAACAGGCAAACCAGGTCCGCAGCCAGAAAAAATCATCTGGTGGGTGTGGGACAAATCAAATTTTAGGAGGACATAAGAAAAAAACTACTACATTATGTACATATACACATTTAACACTTATTGAGGGGGGAGGAGAAACGATGTCTTCCCCCGTGGCTATTATCTACAGTGGATTAAGACAACTAGAAGTATGCTTAACGTTATACCTGACAGTTCTATAATACATTTTAGAACTAATTATTTTTACCAGGCACCTTGTTTTTGAACTTTTATGCCTCCCGGCTCCGGTCACTTCGTTTTTCAGATTTCAGGGGGAAAGTTGAGTGAGTGTATATTCGGGTAGACGGGTAACATATCGGGTACAACCTTGCCAGTTAAAGACTTAAAGTAATACAAGTAGACGCTCTTATGTCGCACCTGCTGAAGGCAGTCACAAAATTGGTTCTCATCTTATAATATATAGATATTTAAGTGAATATTTTAAATGTCATAGCCACCGCATAATAGTAACATTAGATTGTCCAGATTTCTGTCCATGGTATAATACTATTACAATGATTGATTATATCTGTTACTTTGTATTATAATATCAATATATTTATTAGTCACAATTAAAGAGCGGATTATTAGGTTCTTAAGTTTTAAATATGATTCTAATATGCTTTAAAAAACTTTAAGATATTCTCTTAATAATCCTCAAACTGGTATAATATGCTGTTTTTTTACTTCAAATAATTTAGAAGTCTATACATCAGTTTCGATATAAGCTTATCATGCTAAATATATAGTATAAGTTAACATCCAACTTTATAATTTATAATAAATAGCTCGATAGTTGGAGCCGTTGGAGGTTATTTAGGAGCCCCAGATTTGTCTGTTAATTTTTTCGTTGTAGGCTATACATTGCACAAATCACCTAAAACAATCGATGATAAACCTGCTGACGACATTATTTTCAATTACATAATGTGTCAAAAAATTAATAAACCTCTTATAATAATTCATAATAATAATAATAATAATAATATACAGTTTTTACTACTGAATTGTATAATGTGTATTATACCATAGATTAAATATACTAGTATATTTAATCTATGATTATACCTACTTACATATTGCTACACACATTTTCAGTAATCGCTTACGGTCGGCCGTCGTCCATCAATCGAACGAGCAAGAGCTATTTTTGTACACCAGTACACAACAACACAACACGTTAACAACACATTTGTCGTCTTCTGTTATCGTTAATCGTTTTGACTCTTGTCAAATGAATAATGTTTAATCGTTTAATAAGTTAATATTTGGATCTTTCATTCTTTTTTCATATTTTAAAAATGAAAAAACAATTAGAAAGTGGTTCTTCAAAACGAAAAAGAAATGAAAAACAACAAATAGAAGTAAATAAGTACAGAGGATGACTGAGTACAGAGACTTCATGTAAAATTTTGGCTCCAGGTCCTCAAAATGTCTTATAATATGATATGTGAATAATATGTAATATATGAAATAATGCATATATATTCAAATGTCGTAATAGACCACTTTATGTATGACAAGCAAACAATGAAAATCCAAAAATATTTAACTTTCAATTATTGTTACTGGAATAGTTGAATGCCAATCCGCCAACCCTTACCAAGGGGATGACACTGATTTACATAGACGATCATCGACAATTGTTTTTGTTTAGTATATTAGTCAATCGTTATCTATGTGTTAATATTTATTGTTTTCAACAAGTCGGCACGCCGGCCGCCGACAAAATGTGTTTGATCGTCGGTACCTACAGTCGGTAATAACTAATAAGTAATAAGTAATAACCAATAAAAGTCCATAGGTTACGGCACGGACATAAATAGTGTACCCGCCTAATATACTGGGTAAACGATAAAGAGGTAATACCTCGAACTATTTCGAGGTCATTGCCCATTGGACATTTGGACCTCTTTTACAATAATATTACCGTATAGGTATTTATTGGTCAGTTTACTGCCAATAAGCGTCCAAATCAACTGCCAAGCTGCGCGCGGAGATCCGACTTGTCGGCTATTAACAGAATCCCGGATGAAGTCTAAAAACCCACGACCTGATAGACAAATCAGTAATCGCCGAAACCTGCAGATCGCGGCATTTACAATATTTATATACTATAATATTTTATCAGCTACGATTCTTAAGGTCGTCTCACCGTTTATGGTTGGCCGCGCGCGCTTTTCAGTCTCACTCTTCCCCACTCTCGGCGTCAACGGTCACGTCATCGCCCTTAATGATGATTATCATTATTATTATTATTATTGCCATTTGCCAGTCGGCGGCAGTCACAACTCACAAATAATATTATCATCGCCATCCCGAGTTCTCGTCTACAGTCAACACGTGCGGCCCGTCGTTCCGCGGCGCATTTCCTCTATCGTACTTTGTGTTTCCAGTGTCCGCGACGCGACAACGTCCGTCGTGTTCCCATCTTTCCGATACTTCGCACTCACACGTCGTGTTACAGTCTCGACGATAAGTCCGTTTCAGATGCGTTTGGTGACTACGAAATATGACTATTAATGTTTTTGAGGAGACCCGTATATAGGTTTTCCCCCCGCGTCCGGTTCGAATAGTTTTTTCGCCGAGTTTCCGCCGCCGTTCCCGTATACAGTTGGCGTGCGCAGTTGACCATCGGATTCCCACTTTTCTGACCGTACGGCAACCGATCCGAACTCTGTCCAGCCGCATTCGTTCGTTCGTGTTTCCGTTTGGTAATCGCGGCGATCACAGCGGAGACTGTTCAGCGAGAGGAGATTCGACGCTCGCGTGGACCAGAACCGACGACGATGAGGTACAGTTTGAGCGACATGTTCGTCAAGACCATGCCGAGTTTGAAACTCAGTGACAAAAAGTGAGTAGACACTTGTTCCGGGGATTTCGAAAAACCTGTTGCCAGTAAAAGTTGTACACTTGTACCGAGATCAGTAGTTGCGATCGTAGCTGCAATATGTATTGTAATATCTATAGCCGAGGCGCATGGACCGCGGTTGCGAGTTTGCGACAGACGATGCAAAAATAATAGTTATTTTATGGACATTACGTAAGCCATTACGTCAATCGACACAACTGTCGGAAAGTTATCCCTCGTAATTTTGTAAAAGCCTTTTGAAAGGGTGGGATACCTAATTATTTTCAAAATTTGTATTATTCACGGCTGATTGTAGACGACCTTTTTACCGACTACTGAGGCCGCCTACCCGCGTTTTATACTTTGTGCAGTTGTGTACTTGTGTTTGTGTGTGCACTGTGCTGCCTACACTTTTATGTCAAAAAAAATAATAGTTTTTTTAACTTTAAAATATAATTTCTCGAGCATGAATTGTTGTTATGTAACGATTTCTAAATATAATTGACAGTGTTCATAACTGAGGATAATTGATTTAATTAGTTTAATTTGACTGTCGAATCGTTTGTAATGATAATATATAATGTATGTGGATATTATCGTTTGATTTATTTAAATTATATTATAACTATTTTTATTTTTATGATCCTATTATAATAATATTTTGAAATGTCTTGTTCTCTTGACTCTTCTTGATTGTCAAGTACCAATGTTTAGTGTTTTCATAGATTTGAATAACTCATTATTTTGTTGGCCTGAATAACTCATTTTAAAATTAAATCTATAGGTTTATTTTTTGATTAATGTTATGGAATATAAATTATAATTTATATTATTGAGATACATAGACTTCAGTCACAGAATAAAATTCTACAGTATTGTTATCTACCGTATTATGATTGGACATTGAGTAATACTCTATATGGATATTATTAATATTTATAGCCATGATATCTATATAATGATGATGGTGATGATGATGGTGATAATAATAATAACAAATACCTATAATAGTTGATTGATAAATAATAATGCGTATTGCTTTCTGCTTACCAAATGTTCTAATTATTATTTACATTTAAAATAATAATTTTATGAACAATTATTATTATAGAAATGTACAGCTCTTAAATAATAAATAAAATGTTTAAAAATGTAGTTTACCCTGATAAAATAACAAATTGATTATACTGATAGTAAGATACATTTGATATTGTTAATTATTTTATTGGAAAATGAACTGTTTATTTTATTTTTTACCACATAATTTTAATATTAATCAATGTAATTACATATATTTTATTTTGTTTTACAGTATGTTGTGCATTCAAGAAGAACTCGGAAACCTAAAAGACAAGGAACCAGTCAAAGATAATGCTGTTGGGATCAATAAATTGGAATCTGATGTCTTAAAACCCAGTGGTTGGTTTGATGGATTGTTAGGATGCTTAAAACCAATGTTAGGAATCATGGGAAAAGGAAACAGCCATGATCTTAAATCTTATCAAGGTAATTATATAATTTTTCATCAAAATTAAATGGTTAGCTTAAGAGTATGCTGTTTGAGCATTTAAATATTTACAAACAATTAATTTTAAAATGCACGTAACTTGCTTCAAAATTAAAATATCAATAAAAGGTCTGTGCAGGATAATATTCTTACCTAGATTTTATAATAGATTAATCACTTAAGAATAACAAATAACAGAGTAAAATGAATATAAAATGTGCTGTGTTGTACCTATACTTTTGTAAGACGGAAACAACACATTACAGGTGTTTACACATTACATAGGTACTTTTTAAACTGTTTTAATTTGTTATATATTTGATTACATTTTAATTAAGCTTAAATATTCAATTGTATCACTGAATACTACATACTAGTACATACTAGTAGGTACATACTAGTTTTAGGCACACATTTGTATAATATTTTTAATTTTTTAATATTCATAAAATTAGGAAAATAATAAAATTTAACCTTTATGATGTTTTGTAGATAACTGGGACATACCATTTGAATCGATTAGTGATTTGCAATGGTTAGGTTCAGGAGCTCAAGGTGCTGTATTCAGTGGGAAACTAAAAAATGAAATTGTAGCGGTGAAAAAGGTGCGCGAACAAAAAGAAACTGACATTAGACACTTGAGAAAACTGAATCATCCCAACATAGTACAATTCAGGTGAGCATATTAATAATTTATTAGGTACTTATAAATTATAAAATCGTATTTGTTTCAGATAATTATTAATACGTTTGTTTCTATTTTAGGGGTGTATGTACTCAAGCTCCTTGTTACTGCATAGTGATGGAATATTGTCCCTATGGACCACTGTATAATTTGCTTAGAGATGGTGAAGAAATACCACCCATACGATTAGTATCCTGGGCCAAACAAATTGCATCCGGCATGCATTATCTACACGTGAACAAAATAATTCATAGAGATCTTAAAAGTCCCAAGTATGTAGATTGTAGAGACTATATTTTAATTTTGTTTAAAATTGTATTTTACAACTTGTTTATTGTTTCAAAGTGTCTTGATTGGTCGTCAAGAAATGGTAAAAATCAGTGATTTTGGAACAAGCCGAGAATGGAATGAGATAAGCACTAAAATGAGTTTTGCCGGAACTGTAGCCTGGATGGCTCCTGAAATCATTAGAAATGAACCCTGTTCAGAAAAAGTGGATATTTGGTAAATAATTTTTAAATACCTATTGACGATTATTTTTTAATACACTATTCAATTTTTGTTGCATGTATTATATTTTAGGTCATTTGGTGTGGTTTTATGGGAACTGATGACTTGTGAAACACCATACAAAGATGTAGACTCATCAGCTATTATATGGGGCGTGGGGAGTAATTCTTTACACTTACCAATACCTTCGTCATGTCCTGATGGTTTTAGATTGTTAATTAAACAATGTTGGGCAGCTAAACCACGTAATAGGCCATCTTTTAAACACATAATGATGCATCTAGATATTGCCAGTTCTCAAGTGCTAGCGAGTACACCAGATGAATACTTTAAAACACAGGTATAAATATAAATTAATAATACTGGTGAAAATATTATTGAAATAATTAACTATGTTCTAATAAATTATAAAGAAGAAAATTAAAAATATAATTTTCAGGCACAATGGAAGAAAGAAATACAAATACATATGTTACAAATGCAGACTAATGGAAGTCATATTCCCAAATTTGAAGAAGATCTTATTAAAAAAAGAAAAAATGAGTTAAAACACGCACAAGACATTAGGGAACATTATGAAAGAAAATTGGAACGTGCCAATAATCTTTACATGGAATTAAGTGCTGTGTTATTACAATTAGAACAACGAGAAAACGATTTAATTAGGTTAGTAGTTAACATTTTTATATATTAATTTCTAACATCTACTGTAAATAATATATATAATAATCTTGTTAGACGAGAAAAACAAATGTCTAAAGTGTACAAAAAACGACTTATAAGGCCTTTGTTAAAAGCTCAAGATAAATTGAACAAACAGAATAAATCTGATTCAACTACCACATCACCATCATCACCCGAAAGACTTTGTCAAAAATTTGACTCTGTATGTATTTATTGTCAATTAACAATTTTTAGTGTTCCTGAATTAGTAGAAATTTTATTTTATTTTATATATTTTTAATAGCAGTTAACCAAGTCTACACTTTATGCTCAAGTCAGTAGCAATTCAAATAAACCAGAATCAATTGCTGTTACACCAAAACAAAATCTACGAAAAACAAGGCCTAGGAAAGCTCAAATCATATGCTCAATTGTAAAAAATAAGAAGGTACAATGAATGAATGAATACAATTTTACATATGTTTAAAAAAATATTTGATTACAGTGTGATACATCAAAAGAAACTAACTGGAAGAACTGTCACCAAATAAATAGCAATAAAGTCAATAGTGAAACACAGACCGAAACTATTGATTCGGGACTTCAACAAGACATGCTCAATGGTAACATGTCTGATTCTGCTCATTCACAGGTAAATATCAAAATATTTAATTTATGTACTATATTAAAATTTACTAATTATATATTTTATGAAATGTATAAAGGGTGAAGAAAGTTCCTGTAGCAGTGGTGTGAGACTGAGTGACGATGAACATTTAGATAGACTGGGCAGACAAGTAAATGAAATAATTAACAATAACAGACCTTCCAACTTGACCGATTTATCAGATTACTATCAGGATAATGAACCTATTACTAGTAATTTCAATCTAAGGAGAAAAAGGTAAAATACTCATTTAGAATTTGATTTGTGTAAATGTATTAATTAATTTATTTTCAGTGCTGGTCGGCGTCCAATTGGACCTGGTTTACGTGTACGTCGATATAGGATGACACAATATTGTCAAGAGCCAAATGGAAATTCTTTTTCATTAAGTTCTTCAGCAGAAGTAAGAGATTATTATACACTTTTATTCTTTAACTAATTAAAGAATTGTGATTTTTATTCTATATAGAAACATGACTTCTTAGAGGCAGAAAGTTCTACATCAGACTCTGACATGAAAGACATTGATCTAGATTCGAGTTTTTATAAAGTATCTAATCAGTTTCCAGTTTAATACCGTGTATAAAACCATAAAATTGTACTATGTTTACAATTTTTGATTTAATTATTTTATTATCATTTAATAATACCAGTCCCAACATTACATTTTTCTCATAATCAGTGTTAAATTTAATTTCTTTGCTATTACATCCAAAACTTCACAATTTGTTATTTTAATTTTTTTTAACTAACTTTCGTATCTTAATCTAACATTTTTGTTTTGTCATATAACTGTTTTATAATTACTATTATTAATAATTATTTTTGTTACTTTTTTTTTCTTTAAAAGTGTAATGTATTTCTAATGAAATATTCAAATATTGATTTTTCTTAATTATGTTAACAATATTTTGGATATTCTTGAAGTAACAAAAAATATCTGTGATTATATAAAACAACAAGAAAGATCACTTATATAACAGCTCGTGATATTATTTTTTAATGTGTCTAAATTTACTAGATTTAACATGTGCTCATTATTAGTTCATAATTGTGACATACTTGTTAGACCAAAAAAAGGATGGAAATATTATATTACATAGTTTGTTATATAAGCAATCAAATAAATTGACGTACTATTGTTAATATTTGTACTGATTATAGGTAGTTGCTTAACAATTTTATGAGCAATAATTATTGATCTCTTTTGCCATTTATAATATTGTGATGTAAATTAATTTGTAAACATACATGTTGTGTACTGTAGACTGGCCTTACATTAAGGCAAATTATTGTTTAGGAAATTATTGTATAATTTTTATTTTTAGGCTTTGTCTCTTTATTTTGTATGCTGTATAGAAAAGAGATATAGTTTTAAAAAATATAAATTTGTTTAAATAGAAGAAGCATTTGTTTTGTTTTATATATGTGTCCATATCTGAAAAATACACTCATAAATAATAATTATCAAACTCTGATAGTTTATAAATAATGAATACATTATTTATTTTTATTTAAGACTAAATACATCATTCTTGTTTGATGTATTGTTTAAACAAATAATACAACTGTTTACTTATGTATAAATCATTAATTTAGATAAAATATTATATCAAAGTTATACAATGAATTTTAGTAATTACCTTATTACTAATATTATGCAAGAACTTTTACTTGAACTTCTAGTAACTAACACAATGAGATGTGAAACAAGTACAAAATATATATTAAATAACATTTTAGTTTTAGAAATAAATTAAAACACCTAATTTATTTTCTCCCTAGTCATTTTCAAAATTAATAGCATCTTGTCTAGTTGCCTCATAGATTTTTAAAATATTACCAATGCTAGTTTATTATAAGCGGTTTAGCTAGTGTCCTAAATTGTAGTACTGTAGTCCGTAAGACATGCATTTTGGGATAAGTACTCTAACTCCATTTACGAAAATGCCCCGAGTAATATACATGGTTGAACGCCAATGCCAACACATTCGTCGTTTATGTTGTAAGTAAACTTTGCATAAATGCATAATACTGGATAAATTATACCATTTTAGATTTATTAAATAAATACCTAAGTTTCTTAATTCTAATGGTTTTTATATAAGCAATAATTGTAGCTTGTGGGTATGTGGCATCTGCATATAGAAAAAATAAGACTACACACTTCATTTTGGTAAAAATTAGATTTTTCATTCGAAAAATGTTCTGACATCTTACTTTCTAATTTCTATATTGGTTATAATGTTATACCATCATAACTAGAAACGTAGTGTACTTATTAGTGAATAAGACAAGTTATAAGGTATAAGCCCAAATTTCAGCGGCATATTTTTCCTAACTCCTACATAATATTATTCCTAAATTTCGATCATGGGCCATGGTGATGTTTAGCTATCGATTGACGATTATTCGATTATCATATGGTTTGGTTGGGAAGGGTCGCGGGCGGTCTTATTGATAACAGCCGTCCAATATCAAACCTAAGTACCTAACCTCAAACTTCAGAGCGGCATTGGATCCTCAATTTAGTAAAATTTCAATAATTTAACAAATATTACTAGTACATTAGTAATATTGTACTTATTAGTTAATACTTCTTTAGTTCTATTTATATTTCCTAATTTCTATAACCGAATGAAGTAAATAGGAAATTTGATTTCTTTGTTTGACGAATTTTAACTATTTTTTTGTCTTAAAAGACTTAATTAAAAAACCAATAATGTTTTCGAAGTCACTGGTCAATTTGTGCAGACAAGGATTAGGTTCTACAAAAATTGTGCAAAACGTTTTATGTAAGTTCATGATGATTCGACAGAAAAAATGTCCGTATTTGTTTTGTATTAAGTCGTCTGCATAATGCATATTGTGTAGTAAATAATTTGTTTAATTCTCCGATAATCTTTGCAAATCCTTACAAGTTGTGTAACAGACCATATTTAATAACCAAAGTACTAATGTTATTTAAAAATTGGTTATTCACTAACATTTTAATAATAGTACATACTAAAGGAGGTCTAATAGAGTAATCTAATAATATAAGAAGGTCCCAACCTAAACAGATTTTACAACAATTCTCCAATTTTGATTTTTAGACAATCATTTTTGGTAGCAATTAAATTATATTATGCGTATTTGAAATAATAATTTCAATTAAATGAAATGTGAAAGTACGTCCTGGTTTTCCTAATGTTTATTTCTTTTGTTTTATACTCATTTTCAGATATAACAAATAAATATAGACTATTATAATAGTAGGTATAAATATATTTCATTAAAGTAAATTATTAAACACAATATGGGAAACATTTTTGTAGAAAACCGTACTATAATTACTTCTTTATTAAAGTCTACCTGACTGGTTCTAATAATATTGGTAGCACATGGCTATTGTTAGTTTCAAAAGAGAATATCCCAGGTGGCATGCATCTCAGACATAACAACCTAAGTATGACCGGTGGAAGGAGAAAAAAGTGCGCAGAACTGGTATATTCTCTTTTCGAATAGAGGTTAGTTAAGGATAATCTTGATTTAATTAATTAATATAAATCTATTGTATTGACCCTTTAAAAATGTGAATACTTAAATACCTCATACTTATTAGCTTCATAAAGTTCATACAGTTTTAAACATATAACAATAAGTCTTTAATGACTATCTACCTAATAAAAATAATTTAGAGTAATTTATTTGTTCACTTTAGTTTTTATCTGATGTACAATATTTTTATTTAGGTAAACGTAATTTGTATGAGCGTGCAGCCATAGGATTGGATAAATATGAGTTCTTCCGAGAAAAAATTGAAAATCAGTTTTCTGATTCAGATAAACTGTTATTTCGAGAGCGTATGAAGACTTTTGCAGATCCTGAGTCTAGTAGTTTAATTTTTACTGAAGATTTAAAACAGATTGTACACATGGTAGGTGATAATGAAGCAGATTTAACACTTGTAGAAAAAATGATGAAAAAGTAAGTATTACTACGATATATTTAAAATGTTAATGCTCCAACTAAAAAATCAAAATATTATAATTATAGATATAATAAGCAAAACCAAGGATTAAGATTTGGGAATTTTACTTTTGGTCCCGTTGTGATGCGAATGTATTATCATCTCAATAAACCTGATCTTGCGTTACAAGTAAAAAAAAAATATAATTATTATAAATGCAAACAAATTAAAATTAACAAATTTTAATGGCAATTTTTTTTTTAGTTGTTTAATGATCCCGAAATGGACGGATTTTTCAATCATTTAAGTTCTTATCAAATACTCATGGACTTATTATTTGTAAATGAACAATTTGATCAAATATTACTTGTATATAAAACAATTCAAGAAAGGCAATTACAAATTGCCAAGTTTCCTAAAGGTGTGATGATGTTAGTTTTTGCTGCATGTTATAAATTGGTAAGAATTTTTTTTGTAGTGTGTGTTAATATTTTGGTATTCATTGAATGTGTGACCTACCTGAGAAAACTGATTTTAATATATGACCCATAATACATGAATTATATTATTTTATAATGTGTATTACTTAAATAATAAAGATTGCCTTGGCTTATCCATTTCCAAAATGATATTGTTTTAATACACTTATGTTATAAGTTCATAACAATAATGATTAAAATGGTTTAAAAAACAAATTGCTAATAATTTCTAATGATACATTTAATTTTATTTTAGAATACAACTGAAAGTTTTGAATATGCATGTAAATTGTGGAGTGATCAGCAAGAAGCTGGCCATAGTCCAATTAGAAAAACAATAACTTTTTTTGCTGCCAATGCAATCAATCAGAATAGTCCTCATATTGCTCTTGAAGTAATAACATCAGTGCGAAATCAATCATATGTGACACTCCGCAATATAAAAGTGGTTGCATTGTGTGATTTGGGCCGGATTATCGATGCTTTGCCTCTTCTTAGAAGTGTATTGACATTAGATCAACCAATGTCTGGTGGCCCTGTTGTCAAACAAACTTATTGTAGAGATGTCGTAAGTATATTCAATTTTTGATAAATTAATCCTCATATTTGTTTAATACTAAATATTTAAATTTCAACATTTTTAGAAATATATTTTGCTTTTAATTATGAAATAAAAAAATGTTAGTAAATTTCAATTAAATGTAGTATTTAAATACTCCCAGCTACAAACAAAATTTTTTTTTACGAATCTTAAAATGAGAACTGCCAGTTAAGTGATTTGTCTTTAAAAAAAATAATAGTAGTAATAATGATTGTAAACAACTTTTTACCTTTATAATGTTATTTACTGAAGATTATAGGTATCAGTTGATGATTATTGATCATTCTTGTTCATCGTAATTCCCATAGTAAAGAACTATATTTTTTTAAACTATTAACCTATAATAAAAATATATTCATGGCGACTTTTTGTGTATTTTATATTACATAATTTATAAACGATAATTATTTAATTATAGTTTGTAATTAAATATTTAATTATAAATGATAGGTTCTTAGTAAGTTGTAAAATATTTAAAAATCAATCAATAAAATTTTAACTGATAATTTTTAAAGAATATATTCATAAAAGTTAAATGAAAAAGCATAAAAAAACATACAAATTTAACATTTAATTTTAGGTATGTTTAAAAATAAATATAAAATTCAAATAAAAGTATATTTTTGTCTTTATGGTAAATTGCCAAAGTTAACTTATTACTTGTATTCTCTTCTATGTATAAAAACCTATGCCATGTTAACAATTTTGCTTAATATTATTATATTGAATTAACAGAATATTTTATATATTTCATTTAAAAGTTATTTTTTTTTGGAGTATTCTAGATATTTAAGTAGTTTTAAATTGTTTAATAAGCGGTAAATGTACATAACTTTGAATATGATTTAGGTCAAAAAAACATATACTGATTGGTTTAATGCATAAATAAAATAAAAATATTTTAATTCTGTTTATTGAGTTGACCTTTTATTAAATAAAAATAAAATGGTCAATTGAAATGAATTTAATTTCTTAATTGATGTACATAAAAGAAACTCGAACCAAACAACTTTTAATTTAATTTACAAATAAACGTATTTTAATATTGGCTTAATATAAAAGCTATAAAATAAAACTACTCAACTTTTGTTATTTGAACTTTTTTTATGGATTATAATTAAGCAGTAATTTTTAAGATTAGATTTCAATTTTATGTGAGTTGATTTTTACATCTAAAAAAAGATCATTTTTCAAATTATCCTTACATAATACTCAATTAGTATAGTAATTTAGACGTGCGTTGAAGTGGCGGGGGGACTGTTAACTATTAAATAAGATCTTTTTGTTTGTCAACAAATTGATTGAAATCTCCATTTATTTTAAAACTGGACGATAATATTTATATAATATAAGTTAGTAAGTCAACTTTTTTTGAACTCATATGTATGGTTAATTACAACAAATATAAATGTTATTAATATTTGTTATATTATATTATTTTAGATAAATTTAGTGAAATCTGCAGCTGAGAAACATAATGATAAAGAATTATCATTGGAGCTGGATAGAATATTTAATCAACTAGAAGAGTTAAATATGATTACCGAGACTGTAAGTAATTGATTGTTATTTTTAATTTCTCAATGATCTATGTATTAAATAATAATTGACAATATTATCATTTTGGTTATTTTTTTTTTTCTTCTCTAGACACTTGATTCGCTTCTATGTTCAGAAATTAAGATGATTGACAGATCGGAAACTAACAACAGAGAATCAATAGTAGGGGCAAGCTATCAATCAGGTCGACCATACAAAAAACGAGAATTTAGACGCCCGGGTATTAGTGATTTATTGTAACTTGAATTGCATTTATGTGAATCATAAACTATTTTTTTTGTAGATTAATAATGTACTGTTTATGTAATAATTAAAAAATAAAATAAAGTTTCGTTTTTTTTTATTGAAATATAAACAATTTTGTTCTTTTTATATGTATATATGGTCATGGACATTTAATTACATATATTATAATTAATATTCATACAAAATTTGTAAAATAAAAAAAAAATTACAACTATTTGATACAGATTGATACGAAAAACATTTTAGTATTGTTCACTATAGCGTATAAGTTATGTTTACAAAAAATGGAATTTAACAGAAAAACACAATTATATTAACTAATAGGCAAGTGGGTGATTGCTTTTCAGTTCCTTATTAATAACAATTATTATTGAGGGCCTATTCAAATATTATTTTAACATTATGACGAATTAAAAAAATATAAATTAATAAAAATAGTTTGTGAATTATTCGACGGCATCAGTTTTGGCAACTGGGTATGGCTCAGGAACAACGGTGTGTCCACTATCAACAATTACAATACCATCAACTGGTTTGTCTCTGGAATCAGTTTCTGCTGCTTCTGCTGCTCTAATTGTTTTCTGAAAATAATTAAATCAATTTTAATTAAATATCTATTCAAAATATTTGAATTACTTATATACTTACCATTCCCTTGATAACTTTTCCAAATACAACATGGCGACCGTCTAACCAGGAAGTTTGTTTAGTGGTAATGAAAAATTGAGATCCATTGGTGTCTTTTCCAGCATTGGCCATAGACAACCAACCAGCACCGTAATGCTTCAGTTTGAAGTTTTCATCTGCAAACTTTTCTCCAAAGATGCTACGGCCACCAGTGCCGTCACCTTTTGTGAAATCGCCTCCTTGGATCATGAAGTCTTTGATAACTCTGTGAAATTTACTGCCCTTGTAACCTTCACCTTCCGGTTTCTTAGCTAGCTCAATAAAATTCTGAGCTGTCTTGGGTACAGTTGCACCAAACACTCCGATTTCCACACGTTGAGGTTCACTCGATCCCATTTTGATGTCGAACCACACCTATCAAAAGAGAAATGTTCATAATTATTGAGTGGTTTGTGTACATGAGTTTATTGACGTGTCCAATTCAACTTACGATGTCAGTGACCTTAGGTCCTTTCTTCTGTAGGTCCTCCGACGCATGGCTGTACATCACCACGAAAATTGTGAAAACCGTTAACGGCAATATAGCCCATTTCAATAACGTCATGATTTTATAAGTAGATATCATACAACTCTTAAAAATATAATAATTATTAGAACTAGAGCTATTAAGTAGTGTAGTTACAGTGAGAAACACAACGACTAAGTGTCAGAAGTAGTTGGTCGGACTAACCAGTAGACTATAGCATTATACTTTATAGAAAAAGAATGGTCAATGGTTGGAGGGGATGGGAAGACGTGTAGATGTGGACAAAAAACACAATGTACCAACGATAAAAATGTAAAATTCGTTATCAATTTTCTACTACTATCGGGAAAATAATCGATAGTTTTTTGTTTTCAAAAACTATTTTTTCAAACGTTAATTACATTATTTTAAATTTTAAATTTTAATCTAATGACGAAATTATTAATTCTGTTCATCATATTATATTGTTTAATAGAAATAAAATAAAAACAGCGATTGTTCATTTCGTTTCGTTGTATTTCAGCTATAGGTTTTCGGCTCATCGTTTTATGGTCGTTGTAATTTGGCTCGCGATGTCAGTGAGTGAAACAAAAATCGATGAATTTCTTTGTTTTTTTTTTTTTTAACAAAGTGATGAAAAATAACAGGTTTGAGTGTTAGACGTCTGAAAAAAACCAGAAGGTCAATTTAATAATTTAATGTAACATTATATTAAGTTAGATTACTAAGTTGTAGTTGTAGATAACATTATAACAATAATACAATATGGTAGTTTGTGGTCATATTCTTTCAAATGACATGATAAATTCCTATTATTTCGTTATTTTTGATAATTGTTTGGAATGAATCATTTCAAATGATGTAACAGAAATAGAGAACATTATACTATCTACCCAGTCAAATTTACCACGCAAAATTGATGTAATAATAATTATTAATTAAAAACCAATGAATATATTGATGTTATTATATCAGATGTCTTCATTTTCGACTTCACAGTTGACAGTTCACGAGCCACAAATGTCAAATATTAATGACAGTTAGGACAAAAAAGAACAACACAGATAGCAGGGCAGTTTGGTCACTCGTTAAAATTAAATTATTATTTGTAATACCTGCTTATTAATGCTGCAATATTATATTGGTAAATATATTCATAATATGAATTGCAGGAAATTTTGTTTTTGTTTCAACCAATTTTTATTGTTGTTTTAATTACAACGTTTTAACTTATTTAAACTAAAAAAATTAGCGGTCAGTGGATTATACTAAAACCCAGGACAAAACCAATGTAAAACAACAAAATACATTTTAGCCTATTCAATGAATAGTTTCTCGCTATCATGAAACTTGTTGAGTTATAAGGTACGTTAAATGATCTCACCTCAGGGGCTCAGGATAGGTGAAACAACTTTGGCGAGTTGTGAAAAAAATTATACAACAATATATAAGTTAACAGAGCATTAGAGTCTCACCTTTCTTTGAAAGGCAGTTTAAAAATAAGCGGTGATGATTTAAATTATAATATTTGTAATCATTTTGAAATATAAAATTTTTTAAATTTATTTTCCTATGTACGAATTTTTAAAAAGATCGTATTTTTCCAATGCTATGTATACTAGGTACTAGGACCCGATCTAATGGGCGATCGTATGATACTCATGAAAAATCATATTTCCCCACCAAGAGCGTACCATTTGGCAACACTGCCGGAATGCCATCAACCGTCGATGACAAATTGACAACCTGAAAATTTGCTAGGCTAAACCGCTAAACCGGTTTAAAATTATACCGCACCCCAGCACCCGGCACCGAAATAAATAATAATAAATCATGTATCCGAGTCCAAACGTCCACGTGCGTTTTTTTCCCACCGGTTTTTGAGCGGGCTGTCTGCACAGACATTAGTATACTCAGTTTATTTGTCGTCTGCTTTTTCACATGTCGGGGGTAAATTTGTATTTAACATTTATTCATGTTTCGTTAAAAGATCGTCAATAGAGGAGTCTGTCGAAGATGTCAATGCCGATGCTGTCAAACCAGCAACCAGTGGCACTACCGTCTATTACAACGACTGTTCATAAGTCATCGGTAATTACCGGTAAGTGGAAATAGCCGTTGGCAGAGGCGCTGATGTTGTTTTAAAACGCCTAAAACATAATTATTTTTAAAATTTAAATATTAATCAACCACCCACCAGTTAACAAGTAATGGTAAAAAAAGTGACACTTGTCATTACTGCTGGATTTGGGCGTTTTTGCGGGGGTGTTGAACCGGTGGGGTCTCAGGTTGGTATTCTAGATTTTCTTACTTCGTAAATTATTAAGAATATTGAATGATGGTCAAAAAAATTTAACCTCCGTTTTTTCTTTCGTCGCACCGTTGCTGAAACGTTTCTCGTGTTTTCGTTGTTAAGTTCGCATTCAATAATTCAATGCGCGTGTTTTTATAGATTTTGTTTTTGTTACTTCTACCACAGAATAAGACAATGCTTCTACTTTGTAATATTAAGCGTTAGTATACAAGATTTTGCGTTTAATTATATTTTTAATAATGGGCGGGTATGACTTCCTCTCAATGTGTAGCACGATTAAAGATAGATTCTATCTTTAATCGTGATGTGTAGCGAGTATCGAACATTATAGTCTATAATGATATCCCATTAAAAAAAAAACACCGATACCTTATACATGTCGATGTTTTTTTAAATATGGTTCTTGAACCGCATCTGGTCCCCGTATATTATTCAGAGGACGCTTCACTGATATTATAACCTGACCTTTTTTTTTTATAGTTATTTCAGTCTTACAAATGCATATAACATACCACATTTTACGCTCAGCAGATCGCGTTCAGCTCTGTCAGTTTAAAAAAAACTTAAGAGATGCCGTCGATCAAAATCTTTGCTTTAAATTTTATGGTACGTCAATTCACTCTAATTTTTAAACCTAAGGAGCTAAACGTTATCCGCTAGACATTCAATTGATATATTAAGTTCGTGTAAGACAGAGTCAACAAATGTCCGAGTGACATCCTTTTAAATATTTTATTTACGTAGAAAATGTTACCTGTATAAAATATAAACCATGTATTATATACATGATCATGAATCTAGGACGTCTCCCCTATGCCTCCCCCCCCAATTCATTGGACATCCCTCCCACCCTAACTAAAAAACTTATTTTCCAATTTATTATGTATAAAATATACATATTGATTCAAGAGAGAAATGTTTCAATCCAGGGGGAAAGCGCCCAGTACCTCTAAAATCCGCAGGCACATGGGGCGTGGGAAACGTTCCATGATCATACATAAATCATATTACATGCCCATACGAGATATTTTATTATTAATATACTAATATTTATTCTATTAAGTATAAAGACATGACGTGTAGTATTCAAGTCAATGAACTTTAATAGAAGTCGCAAATTATTAACACACTCTTTTATACAACAACCTTGTCCTTGTGGAACCTACCTTGTGTTTTTATAAGATGTATTCAATTGCGCAATGCTTCAAAGTCAAAATTATTGTAACAAGTAAAACTAACGTTGAACGTGATTTGCCAAGAATGAAATTTGTTGTTACACACTTGTAAGATGGTGATAACAAATGTCAGTGTAGCGTGTTCGTCCCGGTAGTTATATTACGTAATTAAGCCATGGGACGTTTAGTCCACCGGTATTTTAAATTATCAGCCAAATTTCGAGCGATGTATATTTTGATTATTACAATGAGGTGTGTTTTTTGTGTATGTGTATTGTGTACTGTGTACACAATAAGTAGTCTAAACAGTGATTCGATTTTTAATTTAATACCACCTATGTCCTTTCGTGGGAAAGTGAACATGGTAGTCACTAGTCAGCGCATTCGAGAGATGAAAATTGAAAATTCCTTGTAGTTTTAAAAAGCGCCGGTAAAAATAAAAATAAATTAAGGAAATACCAGAATTTTACTCAAAATATTAACGGAATATTTATATGAGCATTTTATGTACTCCGTATGACTAAAAAATATTTTGTCTTTTTTGGAGCTATTTTAAAGGCACGAGACAGATTTTTATTAGTTTTTTTTTAAAAATTATTGTGGATTCTAATGTTCGCTCTATCAATAACCATAAAATTGAAGACAATCGGGTTTTCATAAGCTTTTGTTAGTGAAAATTAAAAAAAGTTGAGTTTAAATCCAAAATAATTTCTTATTAGCGTCTGGAGTTTAAATTTTGACAAAATTCGTCAAAATCACAAAAATGAGACAATTAATATCCCTACCCCCTAACCTTGTGATATTTCATAAAAAATTTCTTTTCACATCGAATATTTCATAATTTTATACTATATTCTTTTTCATTTTCCTACCTTAAATTAAAAAAAGTTTACTTACCGGTAAATCAAATTAATTTTTTATGAGTGTTAATTTCAAATCATTTCGACATTGGACATTCACCCATTGAATTAACGAAGTTTCATAAACTATATTATGTATGGAACATATTATGATTTATGGCACATACCGTCATACCACATATATCGCGTAGTGCGTACTATATGACAGCCATTTTTGACATTACTAAAATTGTATTTACTCATTATAATTTATTATAGATGAAATTATTCACGCACGATGGCCACCAAGGAAATTAAGCACTGTAGAATTAACGCCACCTGTGATAAGAAAAAAATATTGGCCACTCACCACTCGCCAGTCAGTGACTCTAAGAAATATTGTTTGTCTTAATGATGCTGTAAAGTACGTTTATAACAAACTTTGAAGTTTGTGTTGGGTCTTGCCGTCTTGGGTTTACTCTGATTTTTATTTAGATATTGTATTTCTTTACTGACGATACAATAATAAAACACCATACAACGACAACTAGAATAAAATTTAGGAACGTTCAACTTCAACACTGTGACTGTTAAATGCTTCATGTGATACGAGACAAACTATTATAAAAAATATACCTATACATTTATTTATTTACGTTTTTGAATTAAAGTACTATACATTTTATAAATTGAACATTAGCTGGAAACAAAGTCAATCAGATATTCAGATTAAACAAAATATTGTGATTGGAAAGACAGCACCGATTCTATCCTAAAAGTGAATCATTGTCACCATTACTGCCACCACTGTCATTCCCAACAAAACTACTTCACCCACTTCCACTAATTACTGCAGACATATACTGTGAATATAAATAAAAAAATTAAATTAACTTAAAGGTTTTTCATACATTTGACGTTACAGATCCATTCAATGATTGGCCTCCTGAGTCCTAAGCTGTAGAGAATGTGTACCAAGTCCCTTCCAATTTCCAACTGTTAGGCGGTGGTCGAACTAATCCGCTGTGCAGGTAATGCCAGTTTGGAGCTCTATAATTTTATCTTATTTCAACAAGTATTTAAAAATTTAAATGAATTAATTGCCTTGTAAAATGGAAATTGCTGGTATGTGGGCTTTATAAAGAGGCATACGGATTCATAAATAATGCCGCTGAATGCTTAAAGTCTTAAACACTGTAATGAGGTATATCACACAGAATACTGAAATGGCATTTCAAATGTTTGTTATGTGGTGTTTATATAATTTAGGTATGTTTTTCTTAACGGAATTACTTTGACGATATTGTGGTCTTAGAAATTATTAGCTGAAACATATTAATTTCAAACAAGTTACGAGACTAGTGTCACAGAACTCAACAACTCATGTGTAGTATGTTGATAAGCAAGTGTCTTTTTAGACATTATTGATGGGAACAAAAATTTTCATAACAGTTTATTAAAATGAAATTGATTGAATATGACAATAAAACTAGTACCTAGCCATGAATATTTAAATTCTTATGTTTCTTACTTCAAAATTGATTTTTAAAAAAAATGTAAAACTACACATACATAAATTCTAAAAATGGAAAATTTTGATTATTTACCAATTTTAACTTTCTTTATTCCTTTCTATGAAAATTGAATATGATCACTGTACATTTCATAATAGAAAAAATATTGTTGATATTGCAATGCTCCTCAACATTTGATGATAGATTCGAATACAATTTTAGGAGAGACAAAGAGTTTATTGTTAATGGTGTACTACTTTGTTGGAATAAAGTAATAAAATCAAAGTATGATGAATTAAAAATTAGAAATTCAACAACAGAATTTTGTTTTATAATATCTAAGAATGTTACACTTTAATGAGTGCTAAATCCTAAAGTTAAAAATTAATATTTACACCAGTTATTTCTTAAATTTGATTAACACAATAGAATTTGAGGCGTTTCTCAAAACCTGCTTGAAATAGAAGTTTTCCGAAAGAGACAACCATAGTTTTCTATGAATGTGCAATAGTGTAAGAAATGATAATAGTTTTTAAAATAATAAAACTATTACCTGTCGGTTTAAACATAAGTAACTCAGTAGAATATGAAATTAATAAAAATTGTTGTATGTTATTTCTTAAAGCTTATTCTACAGCTTGTTTACCAATGGAATTCCTTTAAATGGAAAATAATGGAAGTTTTAAAATTTGGCAGATGTTTATTGTACATTTAACAGAAAAATTTATTTATCAGCATTTTAAGGTATGCAAAAATCATATTAAAGCTACATCATAAGATTAATTGAAAATTATATTTGAAAAGTACCATTCATCATTTTGAGTTATTGGAAGTGATTGGAAGTGGTAGTATATAATGTGCGAAAATATAACAAAATATTTTCAGAAAACCTCCCAAAAACATTATGTTTGACATAGTTATCAATGACTATGTTGAAAATCATCTTATATAGAGTACCTACAAACATAGCAGAAACATATTGAATAAATATCAATGAGATATTTTTAATTCTATGTTAATATCCACAGAATATCCTTATAAACTTCCCTACAAAACTTTATATATCCAACAGATATTATATAAATGTCTTATGAACCAACTTTATTTATCTGATAAAGTGATAAATATCAGAATAACAATATATTATTTATATCCACATAATTATATTGAAAAGATATAGTATTGATATACTATGAATATTATTTTAATATTAAACTAATAACCAAATACAGTTATTTAATTTATATCAACACTCATATATTGATCAGATATATATTGATATATTTTTATATTCAACTTATACCCAAATATAAATATCTTATGCATATCAACACATATATTATATCCATTAGATATATTTTTAATATCTTTTTATATTCAACTTATATCCAAATACAAATGTCTAATGTATATAATATGTAAATATCCACCAGATAAATTATAAATTAATAAATATTATTTGTTTCCATTAATAGTTAATATCTAATTTAATAATCTCTCACACATCACTTCATTATAATAACCGTAGCTATAATAATAAAATATTTATTTTATAAATATGAAATAAAATAATACAATAAATTCATAATAATCTGCAATGTCATTTTAATAATTTCACATAAAAAAAAAAAAAGAAATACAAATCAAACTTTTGGCTCATCAGCACATCTCTTTTATGAAATAGATTTATTATTATACATAATAGATAAATTTAGATTAAGAATACATAGAGTAAAAAAGTATATAAATATACATAATATATAGATTATAATATTATAAAAGGTTTAAAGTTACTAAAAAAGTAATAAAAACAAATACAAATATATTAGAATTAATAACATTGAGGTTACATTAGCAGATATATTTAAAACCTTTTGAAATAATTTGGCTGTTGGACAATTTGCATATTATGAAGATAACTGCGATGTAGATTTTATGGAAAAATAAATTCATTGTGTCGACTGTTGGAAATGATTTCATAAATCGTAACGTGTGGCATTGAAGATTTGGGTATTGTATTTATTTAGTCATTATATATATAAAATATGAAGCATAAAATAATTGTGAATTAAATTGTATTTTTGTTAATAATGTCTTTAGTATTATTTTATGTTTTATGTATTTTTGATGTAATTTAAACTTGTAAAATAAAAAAAATGTTGTATCCTTATGCTACATACAAGTTTCTTCAATGAAACTTATAAAATTAATGCTTGGGACTAAAAATGACACTGACTGACTATCTGACTAGGTATTCCAGTATAGTCTGGAGTTCTAGACATAGGGTAGCTAAGTTAGAAATATTGGTTTAATGTATTAGTATGATTATATCGTTATTTTTCATTATTCTAGAATCTAGTTTTTTACCTAGTTTTATATTAAAACAAATACAAATAGTTGTAGGTATTTTAATAAAAATTGACTGCTATTTGTTTTTATATTGAAATCAGTTTATTTTACTATATCTTGTTCGGGTAGATATACTCCAATAAGGTCTGGACGTATGGTATTCTTAAATTTTAGTATAAACATCTGGTGAAAATTTCAAGTATCTACTGTTGTGATTGGTTATTGTGCTACAATCAAAATCAATTTTGTCAAAAACATTTTTCTCGATTATTTTGAAAAATATTAAGAATTTTTCATTTTGACTTCTCAGCTAGAACCAACTTGCAGTCTTAATATAAACTGTAGACTATATAGTTGTAGATTAGGTTAGGCTAATCTAAAATGTACAAGATAATATGAAAGTTGAAACAAAGTCAAAATGTACCTATACATAGATATTAGTGTCTAATAAAAATTTTATTTTTTTGCATAATTAAAATACTATTTGAAGGTTGCCATGAATAGAAATGCTAATGTAGACATTTAGTAATATATTTTGAGTTCGTTTTTTTTTTATTTTGAGTTTCTAAATTTATGTGATTGATAAATGATTCATACTATTTTTTTTATAAGTACATTTCTATTTGAACTATTTTAAGCTTTTTTATGAATGTAAAATATGAGGATCAGTATTATTAAAACTTTGTATTAGAATTTAGAAATAACTAATAAGAAAAGCTTCACATCTAATGATGGTTCAATATTAATCTATATATATATATGAGGCTATTTCTTGACTAATATAATATTATCAATTAAATAATTAGAAAATTGGGTCACTTTATATATATATGCCTAGGTATACTATGATTGTAATAAATCAAACTACAGTAATTAATTCCAATATTTGGCCAAACTGCCCATTTGATTGCATTTCGAATACCTGAGGCTTTTTCAAAATCAATGCTGAGCGTTGATAATTTTGATGCACTCATTATTAATCAGATCATTAGGTAGGCCTATAAATAATACACAATTATTGATCATCATGTTACATTTTTATAGAATTTTATTAGAAGTTGTATTTTCGAATTTATATTCATTGTGGTAATGTGGTATTTACATCCACTTAAATTGCAGGTACCTATAACTCCAACATTTCTGGACGGAACTTACCATGGACTTTTTTGTACCTACTCATTTTGAGCGGAATTCACAAGCACCCATTTATTGTACTTCCAAAAACGAGTCGACAGTAGTTATGAAGGTAATTTATTTTTACCAACGTAATTATTCGCTCGTAGAATCTAAATATGGTTCGACCTTATAACAAATGCGTTTTTAGAATATAAATTAATCGACGATCGTACCTAACCCGATTTCGGATTAATATTCAATATCCATACATATCTTGGCGTACCTAGTCCGAATTATATAATATTGAATACCTAATCCTAATGTAACGTCTCGTGGTGGCTCTTGTTTGCACCAATGCCAAATTACTAAATTTTACAATACTAAATTCAATGTAGGTACCCATGTGAGCGATTTAATAATACGGTCACCTATCAATAACTTAATAGGTGGGACATTTGAGTGTCATCGGTCCGTATATAAGCGCAAGTCCGTATCAATCCAAATATCATTCGCTCAACACCAGCTTGTAAAGCAATATCGACTTCTTTCAACTCGTCAACCAACCAAACCAAACAAATACCAAAAATGAACGCCATCATGAAAATCGTAAGTACAAGTATTTAAAACCTGAGATTATTTGTTGATAGTATTAATATTCAAATATTGAAAGTTGAAAAGATATTGATTTGATTTCATCATCAAACGTCAAACATTTGTTTGAGTGTGTGAACTTTCGAATTTAATATTAAATCCAAAAATGGTTGATTAAATAATTTACACATATAACTTACAATTTTACTAAAAAATTAGTACGAAGTATTGGTTAGGAAGCGCCTGTTCATATATTACATTTTTTTCACACATTTTGAGAATTTAAATCGCTTCTTATATTATCGAAGGAAAAAATGTAATTACGATGAGAGGTGTTTTTCAAACACGTAAATTAAATAAATAATCAATTTATAGATATAACTGTTTGAATTTCAAAAGTTTTAAATTATGTCGTTCGAGGAAATAATAAAAAAATTTGATGACCTTAGAAAGCATGATGTATTTATGTTTATCCTTAATTCCTTGTGACGAACTCTAGGAAAAATAATTCTTTGAATATTGTGATCGATGCAAAATCGTAACGATCAACTCGATAATCACATGGTAATATGGTATAATAGGACTCTACGATCACACACACCACATCATGTTTTGAAATTACAAAAAATTCTGCCTTAATATTGCACCGTGTTTTTCTCACGTGGTCTGCATAAAAATTGTCTATACCGAACCCCTTAAACAAATTAAGGTGATTCGGTCGACGATGTTATAATAATATAAATGAATTTACAAACCTGAAACCATTTTATTATTAGCATTTATATGCAACACTGTGTTTTTTTTGCGACTTCTGATTATTTATTATTATCTTATTACTTTTGTCAGTATTTCAGTAATGTCCACGAATCCACTTTATGATGAGGTAAATGGTGGTGTTTTTACTTTGCTCTTTTTTTTTTAAATTTTGGACAAAATAAATATTATGAGTTTATTAAAAAACGTTCTCTTAGTACACGAACGAACACTTACGGTTTTTGTATTTTGTGTGTGTTTGGTGCAGACATTAGCCGCCGTTGCAGTGTTCGCGTCCGCCATGATGACCGCATCTGCCAAACCTGCTGAACTAGTGCCCGCCGCCGCCATCGCTCCGGTGGCCGTTGCTACGCCCTACGCTAGCTCGTTCACGTCACACAGCGTGGCCCACAGTGTGGCCACTCCGGTCGTACCAGCCGCCGCTCCGTACGTGGCCGCTGCTCCATACGCCGCTGCTCCATACGCCGCGGCGCCCTACGTCGCAGCACCCTACGCGGCTGCCCCTTACGCCGCCGCGGCACCTTACGTAGCAGCACCATACGCAGCCTCCCCTTACGGTTACTACCCGTACGCCGCTCCGGCTTACCTGTAAAGCCCGTTCCGAGCGACGACGATGACCAACACTACGAATCAGTCGACACGCGATAACGGACGAGAGACGACCGCAACGACTACACTGCAAACGCCACTGATTTTTATAATGTTTAAATCACATTACTTAAAGCAATGCGATACAATATTATATGATATTCATAAAAATAAATACATCAAATTTTGCCTCGATACGAATATAATGTGTGTATCGTGAGTGCGTATATATACACGCAAAATGTAATGTACGCAAATATTTTAATATAACATGTAAATATACATAACATATACACATGCAATGAAACATTTGTTTGTCCTCTATACACCTAGTCTACATTCATCTATATTAATTTGAATTAATATGATTCATATTGAAACAACGTGACTTAGGGCGCAACTCATTGCAAGTAGCAAGTATGGTAAAATATGGAAAGCAATTCAAATACACTGGGCTATTCTTTTTTTACTATAGGACTACGGAAGAGAAAGATGTAAAAAATTGGTAAAAGTTGGTACAGGTAACAATACCAACACGTCCAAATATTAAAACATAACTACATGATGTTTCATTTCGATTTCGCAAAAAATTAACAAATCATTAAACGTAGACATTAATTTTTTTTTTATGAAACAACGTATTAATGTCAAATTGATATCATCGTATTGCAATGCTATACTGCACGAGGATTGTAATTTTAACGAAACGAAGATGGTTCGTAACAAACCTTCAACCTTGCATGCACAGTGGGTAAACTAGAAGGGATTAGTAGGCATTAGTAGGTTGAAATGAAATCGAGTGTTAGGGGCACTGTGGACTTTGAAAGTTTGCGGAGTTTGACCCACTCCCCTCTCACTATAATCACTGTCGTATACGTCACTGTACGCTTTCGCTCTGCACTTTTGTGTCCCGATGGACGACTGTTGAATTCCACCTATTAAGGCAGGTTTTCCGCAAGTACATCTTGTACCATGCCGACTTCGGATGTCTACTCTTGGCCCCAAGCCCATCTAACATCGACAATGTAGATTTGCAAGAATAAGGGTTTTTGCTATACTATTTAATGTTGGTATCTATTTGATAGGTATTATATTATTTTTAATAAACGCACCGAAGTGGTGAAGCGTTGGAGTAAAATTAGTTTATGTGGCTTGTGAAAATTGTGTCTATTTTGTACAGGTATATTTCGGTTTTTTTGTAACTAGTGTAAAAGTTTCACGAGAAAACTTGTATTGAATTCCCCAGCGTTTTGACAGAAGAACAAAAAAACAATTACCGACTACAATAATTGTATGGTCATTTGCAAAACAAACACACTATATCATATAGAAACCGGAGCTTAACACTTATTAATACATGCAATAAAATATTATATAACATAATATTATTATAGTATTTATTTTTATCGTTGCAGTTACTCGCATACTTTAACGACAACGCTGCAATGCGCCAATGCCCATATAATATCCATCTGACTAATATTCCAAAGTATTATCTTACCGAATACATTTATTTAAGCTATTTTTACAGTTCAATAAAATGATGAAATGTCTAACAGTTTTTTATCATATTTTAAGAGTACGCGCTACCCATGTGTCTGTTGTCTCCACGGTCTTACACAAAAGTACGACATAGCAAATTTTTATCTTCTAGTTTCAATAGTGTGCTGTTAGTTTTGATGTTAGAGTGAATTGACGAAATGAATCAAACGTTTAGGTAAAAACATTATCTGTGCTTAAACTTCACCGATTTGTTCGATATTTTAATTTTCACGTAAAAAGGTACGTGAAATATCACAAATAAAAAATGCTCATATCTGGATTGAAAATTAAAATATCGAAAAAATCGCCGACACTTAAGCTCAGATAATGTTCTTACCAAAAATTTGTAAAGAGACGCATTCACTTTAATCATAAAACTAACATCACACTATTAAAACTAGTAAACGAACATTTATCATGTTGTAGGTACGCGTGTAAGACTGAGACAACAAATGGGTAGCGCTCTTTTAAGAGGACGCCACACCCGTATGTGTCGTCTCCGTCTTACAAACGAGTAACATACCGAATTTACGCTCAGCAATTCAAGTTTTATGCCGTTAGCTTAAAAATTAGAGTGTATCAACCTATTATGAAACTTGATGGAAAGAACTTAATCTGTGTTTTGTTGGAAGTATTTTACAATAATTCAGTTTTTAAGTGGAGTTATGATAATTTTTAATTTACATTTACTACACAAGCGTACCTCTCTTAAAAACTAAAGTATCGTTAAAAAACTTCCAAAAAAACACAGATAAAGTTCTTACCATCAAGTTTCATAAAAGGTCGATTCACTCTAATTTTTAAGCTAACGGCATAAAACGTGAACTGCTGAGCGTAAATTTGGTATGTTACGCGTTTGTAAGACGGAGACAACACATGCGGGTGTGGCGTCCTCTTAAGTGCTAAAAATTTATTTTTCATCTATCACAACATTCGATACATTAGATCACAACACTGTAGATATCACTTCTTTAATAGATAGATTTTTTTCGGAGGGGATCTGCAGGGACTTGGCCTTTTTTCACGGTTGGGGTTTGTTGATATAATATATTATACTGGTTAAAGTAGCAGAGTTATTTAAAAAATATTTTCTCCCGTTACTCATTTTTTTACTACTCCGTCCTCAGAATTTTAATTTTTGACATTAAAATTATAAATTTAAAAAGATTTAATTTTACATAATATATAAATCTATTAAAGGAAAAAAAAACAATTCACTAAATTTAATGAGCGATTGTCATTAAATATTAATGCATGACTCCCAAAGTATAAAAATAAATAATAACTAACCACTCAGAATAAACAAAATATCGCGACAGAATATGTTAGGAAGGAATTGTATAGAGGAGACCTTGCGCTCATTAGAGGTGATTGAACTTTTTTAGTTTTTTCCTTATGAAGAGATAAGCAAAATGTATTTTCGTGTTGTAAGAAAGGAAATAAATAGTAAGTATTTCAATGATGGTCCATCATTCCGTGCTAAAATACAGTACGTCAAAGTTGTAGGTACCTATAAAATAAAATAAATTGTTTATAGTTTGTACCTAAAAAGATTCCTATAACTTTTTTTTTGCATTTTTTAAATATCTATTTAACGTGTAAAAGTGACAACCATGAAACATTTAATATAGAGATCGTACATTAGTAACACTATCAAACAAGTAAGTGTTATCTTAAATCTATATCTATCTATACTAATTAATTACTAATATTATAAAGCTAAAACAGTTACGCTGATGTTTAAATTTGACCTAATAATTGCGTGATTATTGTTATACCATTTGCATAAGTTTGTAACCACAACGTTGTAATTTCATATCCCTTTATTGAAGCCTTCTCTATAAAAATAGAACATTTCATACATTTTTATTCACAACATTTTATTTTGTCAAGATTTTAACTTCAAATCCTTAAGAGAAACAGTAAGTATGTATTTTTTAAAATTTTATTTGATGTAAAAAAAACTTATATTATTGAATTGCTAAAAAATCAACTTTGTGGGATCTTGCACTCAATTTTCAAGCATTTTAACAGAGCCTAATTATTTATCAACATTAAAAACAAAAAATTCAAAACTTTAAAATGTGTATGATAGTATTAGGAATATATAAAAAATTATAATTTAAAAAACAGTGGAATGTTTCGAGTTTCTATACGATCAATATTTTTGAATCATAATTAAATAATAAAAATTGGTTTAGGATAAATTCATACATTTATTTTGTACGTTTGAATATCAGATGTTGTCAATATTTGAACTTCAATCACTCATAAAAATGTATTGTACACACCGATTTTTTTTAAATTTTCTATTAATTAAACGTATACGTGGTATTTCGTATAAAATGGTTAAACCTTATAAAAGATAGTTAAAACCTTTTTAAAAGTACCAACTAGAACCAATTTCTACCAGAACCCCCCTAGAAGTTGAATATCGTAGCACTGTTTTTGTAGTTACTTAAGACGTATACAAATACACAGAAAACCAACATCGTTGTAAATTTAATAGATTTGTCGCTCCACTCAAAATCCAAAATATATACTTCATTCAAAAAATGTAAAAACAAAATGAGTGTTTGCCATTATAAGAATCACCTTGAAATATATAATACATTTTTTTACAATATTGACACATTGCACGACTGTATACATTTTATATTTTAAAGACTATCACAAGGTTGTAATGTAGAATAAAGATTGTGTAATTATTTGTGAACTCTATTAAAGTTCATTGACCTGATTTTATACTACACTATAGTATAGCACTAACTAACTATAGTATATTAGTATACTTAATACCTACAACAAATATGTATTAGTAAATAAATAATTGAATTTTGATAAAAATTAAATCCACTAAATATATTTTTTAAACGAGTACCTACCCATAGTTAATTAGTTCTAATAAGTTATAATTATAATCTATAAGCATTTAGAGTTTTGATGAGCGGAGTTGTGGATCTGAATGTTGCGAGATTCACCTGTGCCAACACTATAGGTTCATCTAAAGGATAAGAAGTACTTAATATGTAGATACTAATAAGTTATAACTACTAATTAATTACTGGTTAAAAATTAAATTTTTATAGATTGAAATTCTCAGAAAAATATTCTGCTTTGAATATGAAATTAAAAATCTATACTATCAATCAAAAAGTAAAAAACAAAATAATAACTATAAATAGTAAATTCGTTAAAAATAGTATTGGTTTCAAATTTCGTAAGAAAAAATATTTCCTAAAAGGTTAATATAATTTCAAGAAAGGAGTGTTTACCTTAGGGTCGTCATTTCAGTTTTTTAACTGGGTGTGCAAACTTTTAAGCAGGCCAATATTTACATTTCACCAGGCCATTAAAAAAAAATATATTTATATATATAAATGTAGGTAGCCTATGCAAACTTATGCAAATATTCTTTCCTTCCCTTTTATAATTATAATTGAAAATCATAACGACTAATGCAACTTTTAAATAGTTAGCAAGTCAAAGAATTAAAAGCGTATAAGCAATGAAAGCAACCAGCTTAAGCCATATCACTATTATTTGAAAAAAAAGGCAAATAAAGTATAAGCAATGTAAACCTGATAAACCAAAAATATACAAAAATTTGAAAAAGATATATATTTTATTTATATAACCTATATATGATATCATAATGTATAAGTTGATTATGACGGCGCACTGGAGTATTAATGGCGGGAAAATTGTTAACATTTTTTAAGTTAGTCGTGCCGTTGCAGTCGTTGCACACCCTGCCCCCCCCCCCCAAATGACGCCTCTGGTTTACCTTTACAATAATTACCTTGCAGTACGTAAGTAGGTATACTGACTGAAATCACTTATTACAATAATATTTACTTTGACACATTGCGCAATTGAATACATCTTACAAAAATACAAGGTAGATTTTACAAGGACGTTGTACAAAAGAGTGTGTAGTAATTTGCGACACATATTAAAGTTCATTGACTTTAATACTGCGCATAAACTTAATATTTGTTTAACATATTATCATCTTCATTCTAATATAAATATAATATAATATATTAAGACCGTCGGAACCGATACATTTTTAGTACAGAAATATCGCTCACAGGTACAACTCTCACGTCTTGTAGAATAATCGGAATTTGTTAATTTTTATATATTTAATAGTAGATAACATTTTGCAGGTCAGATCAAAACTCGATTTGCAAAAACTAAAATATGCATTTGAATGATGCACAATATTTGTTATTTTTCTAGCACAATTTAAAGTAAAATGAAAATTCGGGCTATAATCCGACTTTAAAAAAGTTCTCATCTTTCATATCAAAAAATAATTACCAAAATTCGACTTATCAATGAAGCGTGAGAGTTTTTCGTTTGAAGCCATTTTTGTTGATATAATATACCGTTTCACCCCCTCCCCCCCTAAATAGGTATATAGCAGTAGATCAGTGAAAAAGTATTATAATTAAAGTAGCAACAAAAATATAAAATATAATTTCCAATTCATATAGAATGTCGGAAAATTGGAAAAACCGGCACGATGTCCTTAATATATTAATAATTAAATATCTCGAGCAAGTATATAATTTAAGATAAGTAAGATCATATATTAATGTTACTTGATTTATACAGGTACCGTTTTCTACGTAAATAAAATAAAGTATTAGGTAGGTCATTTAAATGTAAGTGCAACAAATCTATATTGTGAACCGCGCAGTTTTTCTTGAATCGAAGTTCCCGAATGGTATTTTGCCCGAAAGTCCGAAACCCCGAAACTTTTTTTACCGAACTCTTTTTTTCCTTTTTTTAAATCTAATTATTGTGATTAGTTACGGTGGCATATTTTCTGTACAACATATTTACAGCTATTGCTATACATTCTAATCTATCAATAATTATTTTTTCCGTGCGATTAAGATAGAATTTATGAAAAAGTACCGGTATTTTTCCTTTATCGCACATTACCGTCGTTACAACGACATATTATACTGATTTGTATTTTACATATTGTTTTTATATGCATTATAATTTATCGATTTTAATATCGATTCGGATAAAAGGTGTTCGGGAAAAAAGGGTTTACGGACTTTCGGAAAAATACCGTTCAGGAAAAAGTTCATTCGGGAATTTTGATTCGGGAAAAATATCGGTAACTCTATATTGTGCACAGGATGAAAACGTTACTGTTGCTAGTGTTGCTAGCCGTGCTATTGCATCCCCACAGTATCTCCGGAGCTCGGATTTTGGCGGTCGAACCTTACGGCAGCAAAAGCCACTGGCAGTACATGAGGTCCATACTAGACGTGTTGACCACCCACCACCAGGTGACTGTCATCACACCGCTGCCGATCGGTGACCGGGAGAACTACACGGAAATCGACGCTTCCAGCGTCTTGCCCATTTATCTGGAAATGAACACGATCGACTTGATCGAACAGTTCGGGTCGGTCATCGATTTATTGCCCCCGATGCCGGAACGTAGCCACGAGCGTGACATTTGCGACGCTCTGTACGACTTTGGACCCGTCGCCGACCTGTTGCGTGCCGATAACGACGATAAGGACGGTCATTACGATCTGGTGTTGGTGGAGCCTTTCCACTCATCTTGTCTATCGTACTTAGCCTATCGATTGCATGTGCCAGAAGTCTATGCGATCCCATTTGCCATATCCTCGCCTACTGAGATCATGTTCTTTGGTACGGAGTCTAATCCGTCCTATGTGCCAAACCTGATGTTCAATGGCGGCGTCCCGAAGACGTTCGAGCAACGACTGACCAACTTGGCGCTGTTCGTGTACGTCAAGTTCGTGACGTGGTTGACCGACACCAGAATGATTTACCGCGATCCCAAACGGTACGACATACCCGATGTCCGGCACAAACCGTCGATGGTTTTCATCAACACACATACCATCACTGAACCTCCTCGGCCGTTCCCAGTCAATATGATCCAAATCGGTGGCATCCATTTGAAACCACCTGAAATATTACCGTATGTAAGGGCGATTATAATATTATATTGTTTTGTATACTAATGAGTTAAATTTGAGTATTGCAAGTAACTAAGAACGCATATTTGACTACAATAGTTACTACTTTTAATTTTAATTTTTTGTATTATCTTCTAGTATGACGACTATGATAGTTCTACAATTATATTTATGTAACTTATGGTTTATATATAACAAGTTTATAGTAGTACAATTAAAATATTTTAATAGTTATTATCAAGACTGATCAAGAAAAAAACATAAACAGTATTGGTATATTGAAACATTTATGAGAGTATTGGTATAGATAAGATTATTAAGAAGTGATATTATGGAGTGGTAATGACGGAAAGTGGGAATTTATTTATAATTGCTGTTAATTTTATTAATAATAGGTTCAGAATGGACTTCAGTTCTTCGAGAAATGTTGAAATAAATTGTGTTGATTGATCGGATGGTGAATCATTTGTTGGAACACTTACGTTGGTGTATGTAGGATCTGGTTTTTACTTAGAGCTTGGGTTGATATTCGCTTGTATCGAGGATGATGGAACGACGGGTGGAAATGGTTATTATTTATTGGTTTTTTTATAGTATTTAGCATAGCTGATTTTGTCTATGAATAGTTAACTTATATCTGTAAGTAACAAAAATAAAACAGTATCATCGTCACAACAAAATAGGCAAAATAGCTAACATAATTAATATAAGTATAATGTATATGGACGTAGAGTAGGGTAGGTTATTTTTGTCCATTAACTTTTCCCTGGCGGATTGAGAAGAATTAAAATTTTCAATCTTAAATATATTTAAATATTAATTCAAATATTTTAAAAGTTATCTCTCATCAGTACCAACAATGGTTAGTTGCTCGTTTTTGCAAGTTCCCCAATATATGTATCAAGCGTAAAAAACTATAATATATTATATCATTGAAAAAAAAACTTTGTTAAGTATACTAGAAAGCTGTTATTTATCAGTCTTTTTTAATTATATAATCATCATACTTCAGGACATATTAGAATTTATTGAAAATTCACCACATGGAATAATATACTTTACATTTGGATCCGTGTCATCAATGTCAACCCTACCGAAACACATTCAACGAACATTCATTGACACGTTTGCACAAGTTCCTCAAAGAATATTGTGGAAGTATGAATGTGAAATTAATGACTTACCCAAAAATATAATGACTAGAAAATGGTTCCCACAACGAGAAATTCTTCGTATGTTACCAAAATGTTAAATATATTAAAGCAAAGATAAGTTGTCATAATTACATTTCAGTTCATCCAAACGTAAAGTTATTTCTAAGCCATGGTGGAATATCTGGAGTATATGAAGCTGTTGATGCTGGATTACCAATTCTTGGATTCCCTCTTTTCTTTGACCAACCAAGAAACGTGGGTAATTTAGTGGACGCAGGAATGGCATTATCGATGGACATACGAACTATAACTAAAGATTCATTATTAAAGACAATTAATGAACTTATCAAAAATAAAAAGTACGTTACAGTGTATGAGTACCTTTATGTAATATAATATAATATATTTATATACCACAAAAGTTAAATTCTTTTTCAACTTCAGTATCTTTTGTGGTTGGAAAGTGAATCTAGTTGGTGCATTAGGTCAAACTTCCCCGTAGTTTAGAAAAAACAACAAAAATATTTAGAAAAAACGAGAATTTTTCATTAAATTTTCAATAAATTCGATTTTAGGTTTTGGTGTGTACCTCTGAAGGTACCTCTAGCTTAGATACATGAAATTTCCACCAAATTTTTATTTCATCATTTTATATAGGTACTTGATAACATAAAAAAAAATGTTTTGATTTGTTTTGGGACATTCAATTTTTTTTTCTTTCTATAAATGACAATATTTATTTGGTTTTTATTTAAATTAATATCGTAAGATTATTGGGCTTCACTGAGAAAAACTCGCGAGTAACTCAACAATATGATGTCATTTGTTAGGCCAAAAAAGCTTGAAAATTGAATGCAAGGCTTCTCGCACATTGTTACAATATTAGTTAAAAAATACATACCTTAGTTTTTTTATAAGTATTTAAAGTTCAAATTTTGGTAAAATTTATCAAACTGAACATTTACAAATTATTTTGCATTTAAATCAAGTAGTTTAAACTGTAATCAGAAAGTCAAAAAGAGTACATAAACACATTTTTTTAATAGTTATTTCAAGTTAATATTTGGACAACATTAGATATTTAAACAAAGATTAATGATTGTAGTTATTTTGTTAACTGCTGTAATTTAAAAATATTATTCCTGGGTGCTTGAAACTTACAAATTATATTAGTATACTTAATATCCACAAGGACATTTTAAAATTTTCATTCAAAATTAATTTAACCCACGTCTTACTGGCTACTACCTTTTTAAGCTTAATAGTAAAAATATTACTTTAATCATTATAATATCATAAAATATACTTGATAATATTATAGGTTGGTCTCCGCTAAAAATCTTTTTTCGTATACAATGATTTTATATAATTGAATTCAAATTTAACATATCCATACAATGGCTTGTCTAGACACTTAATGTACAGCAGAACGTAACACACTTTCTCGCTTTTTTATTTGATTTAATTTATACGGGAATTATTATTTGTATTAATATTATACATTTAAATTTAACCATAATCAAACCTAATTTAAAACTTTGCATGTTTTTTATAAATTTATCAGTATAAAATAAAAATATATATTTAAATGTACCTATTATACATATGCGTTTTACACCACAGGTATACTAGTAATGCAAAACTGGTATCAAAATTCTTTAAAGATCGTCCACTTTCACCTTCTGAATCGGTAAAATATTCGATTGATTATGTTCTACGACACCACAGATCTTATTATCTTCACGATGAAGCTCACAAATCAGCTTCTTGGTACCAAAACATGTTATTGGATATAATTATGGTAGTAGTAATTTTGCTGTCAATATTTTTGTATTCAATTTATTTAAAATTTAAAATTTTAACAAAATATATTTTTTAAGAGTCTCCATGTGCGTTTGTGCTTCTGTAGAATATTGTTACCAAAAAGTTGTTTAATTACTTATTGATTTATAAGTTAAATTAATAATATTATAAGGTTATGGTATATGTACTTATGTATTTGTACTAAAAGTTAGAAATATAATAAATCTAAAATGATTTGAGCGGTTAACAATGAAAAATGTTGTATTTTATGTAAATGATAATAAACTACTCTTATTAATATCAAAGTTCTAATGTACGCACCATAGCTATAGTCGCTACAAATAGCACACAACTCCCGAAATATTATTAACATTAACATAATTTTTATTTTAACGATATGTTTCTGAAAATGTCAAAGGGATAACTTTGAAATCATGGAACACATCTGACCCATTCAATTTTGTTTGATTTTTGTACCATTTAGGTTAAACAATGTTTGCCAGCTGCATATATTTTCAAATAATATTATAAGTATATTTTTTTAATAATTAACTCTTATATTTCAATTGTAATACGATCCCTAGATAATTACATAACTAATTAATCGACGTAATTATTCATTAATAAATTATATCATATTTTTACATTTTACTTAATATTATTTTGCTATTTGAAACTCATATTATGGTATCTTATCTTAAATACTATTTTGTACATACCAATAATTATATTTTATTTTTTTAACTAAGAACTTATCTATCTTAATTTTTTATTATCTATATAGAAAGTTGTAATTCAAATATAGTTATTTTAAATTAAAGTTTTAATAATAGTATCACATCCATACATGTAAATATAAATAATAATTACCGTCCCCTAAAAAATTAATATTGAAAACACAAACATGAGTAGTCATGACACGCATGTGATTTAAAAAAAAAATAATAATAAAATATAAAATCCATTTACCTATCAAAATGATGTGTGCCGATTGGGAAATAATTTTAAGAAATGAGCAGGGAAAAATGTTTTGCAATTGGCAAAACGATCAAAAAAGACAATTGTATTTTTAGTGGTTTTAAGGAGGTGGAACCAAGGTTTAAAAGTGATGGAAGTCGAATGAGATAAACCTTCTAGTTTCTACATTACTATACTAAGGAATGGAACTATTTTAAAGTAGTAGTGTTGTGAAGGAACATCATGTTCGTCAAAACCTGAGAATAAATATTACTGTTTACTGTTGACAACTATAAAGTAAAGCTTACTTAGTATATTTTTGAAAAATGATACAAATTAAATACATTTTAATATAATATATTATATTATGTGCTCTTTAGATGTTTTTAGTGAAGCAAACTACTACCGACTTTTGGAAGGATTTAAGACACATTGTACAATAACGAATGCATAATATCAAAAGAAGAATACCAACCAGTATAGGTATAATATAATATAGGTATATTGGAAAAACAATTTTTTTCGTGACTAAAAGAAGAACTTTTCGTGACTTCTTGTCAAATAAGTAGGTAAGTCTTAAAATTGTTTACTAACTGGTTGGTAGCTAAATTTAATAACTAATAAACTATGTTTCGACTATTAAAGTCACCAAGAAATAAATGGTCAGTCTTAGTATTTTGGATAAAATGTACTTTACTGCCACGCCCCTCATTGATTTCAAAACAAATTTGAAAGGCGTATTTTTCAACCTTAATTTTGAAACCTTGTGAAATTTTTTGCGAAAATCATTATTAAAGAAGTTACGAAAAAAATAGTTATGGTGATTGGTATGTTCGTAAAATAATGGCTCGACGTTAATTTCTCAATTTCATACATTTTTGTGACATTTTTTTAAAGTTAATTTTGGTATTCACTCAATGTGATCTAGCGATCCAAACACATGGTCTCATTTTTTTTGGAAAATGTGTAGTTACAATTTTTTTAAATTCAATTTAGGTCTTAGAAATTATTGAAGTCTATGAACAAAATTGGTTTAAAAAAATTGGGTGATCATAATCTTGTATACAAAAAATAAATTCGTACAGAGAGAATAAACTGGCTTCAGAAAAATCATGAAAGTTTAGATAAAATGTTATAAAATTGACTCAAAATCCACACAACTAGTTGGGTGTACATATATATATATATATATATATATATTAATATACTGTCTTAATTCTTTCATTTTTGTTCATTGTGACTTGGGTACTCCATCAGATATTTTAATTATTACATTATATTTCAGTGGCGTAGCAAGGTGGATGTCATGGGAATGATTCCCTTATCCCGCAATTAATATTTAAATATATTTGTTTTAATATATATACAATCTAAACCCAAATAGTTAGAGCATAGTTAGAATTATATGAATTAAATTAATATAAATAGTGATCAGTTTGATGGTAGAAGTCACATACTTTTTGTCTTTACTTAATCATACATAATGTATAGTTTATTTATATTTAATCGTTCTCGGAGAATTATGACTTGTTATTGAGGCTATTTTAAATATAAAGAGGTAAGTTTTTAAGAGAGTCTGGAGTGGAATCTTTTATAAAAAATGTACATGATCATGTATGGTTTTAATATTTAGGTCTGTATGGTTAGGTATGATGATAATAGTAGTTCATTGGTGATTTTGCAAATAATAGTTTGATTTTTGAAAGTTTAAATTTTGTTAGCATTTGATTTCTTATCCCTACCTCAGATTTAACACTGATTAAAATATTCAAAGGTACGTTACTAGGAGGTTTGTGTTTAATTCGGTGTGATTTTTTTATCTGAAATTAATGTTTAAGTTATATGGTGACGGCTGACGAGTTTCATGCTTATAATAAATGTTTTGAGTTTTACTTTTCAAAAATGTAACGTAGTTAGAACTTTAGATACATACTTTACACTATATTTTCATATTATAAAGGGCGAATATTGAATAATCTTAAATTATTTTTATATTTTAGTTGTTAAAGAATTTTTAACAAAATCTTAAACAATATTATTATCTCAAATACATAAATGTGTCATACAAAAAAAATGATTATTTAGTGCTCATTATGGTGTGGTAACATAATATAGTTAAATTAATAGTAACTACTAACTATTAACATTTAAATATACATAATTATTATGATTATACACTCACTACAACTAGTACAACTTCAGTTTATTTATCTACCTAGTATTTTTCTAACTATCATTATTAATTTAACGATTTAAAAATTAATTTGTAACTGCTAGGTAATTTAAAGAAAAATAATGCAGTTTTTACAGCTTAATTAAAATACTATTTCCTTATAAATAAATTAAACCGTTTGCTAACCGAAAAACCACTACTTACCATCATTTAAATATTTAAATAATTAATAAATCTCGTATGATGAAATAAAAATCGTTTATAAGTTGTTAATACAATAAATTACCTTACCATTTGTGCAATAGTAACTATAGTAACACGTATATAAATATGATAATAAGATAATAATACGCTTAATAATTATATTCTATTGTTACACAGTTAGTCCTAATATTGCTACACTAATTTAATAAAGGGCAGTAGAATAGATAGGAAAAAAATTAAAAGACATTACTTATAAATATTATTATTTACACCAAATTTAAAGATTACTCAATTATAATTGATCATAAATTGTAATAATTATTTATGTAGTTCTTAGAAATAAATTATGTAAATATATTCAACTATAGATATTCGAATAATAAAAAAATTAGATTTGAAAAATTTCATAATATATACACACACATTTACGCAGAATAACCTATACCTTATTCAGGCTAAATTACGTTGTTCAATTTAGAAATGGGGGCAAAAGTATATTAGTTTATGCAATAACTAATATGTATGACGTGCAATTATTTTGTAACATGTATCTTATTTTTATTTTGTTTTAAAATGCATAGTACATTTTATATGTATGGACTTTAATAGCATTGTTATTCGAAGTTTATTTATTTGTGCATAGTAAACATTATACAGTACCTATATTTAGTATATATGCCATTTGCATTATAGCATTGTAGGAAGGGAGGATAAGTATATACGGAGAGATTCATTTTATGCTAGATAGGTACTCAAATTTATATGTATTACGATTATTTCTTAAAAAAGCAATAAATGTATAATTAACTAGGTGTATTTTAAAATAAACATAAATTTGTATAACAATTATTTAGTTTATTTAAGTTACGATACGTATCATATATATATTACATAAACTTGGCTTGAAAGAAATAAACTAGAGATAATTAAACAAAGTGTTTTAATTTCAAGAGTAGAGAAATGTAATATTAAGAAAAATTGAGATTAAATTCTTCTATTTTTTTTTAATTTGCAATGTTTTAATACACCTATTGTCATGTGCAGTTTAGTTTTTAAACATTGAAAATTTTCCAACACATTTTGATAAATTTACCGAAATTCAAAATTTATGAAATGTGAATTGATTATTTTTTTCTAGCTTAAATTTACTATATAATTTGTGTGTTATCAAATAGGTGATTGTAATCCATACATGTAGGAACCAAAATATAATTTTAATAAAATATCTTAACATTTTAATTCCATCTACAACGTACCTACCAATTCAGTTAGCTAAGTAAATTTTCATTAAATTGTATTGGTAATAACTAATAAGTATTGTTTATTTTATACATTGTGTACATATATGCAAAAGTTTATTTAAACGCTGCAATTTCAATATTGTATGAGAAAAAAAATAGGTTTGTTCTAATTATATGTTATTAGAAAATAAATAAATATATATTTATGCCAGTATTATGATAGTGGTTTTAGGTTCATTGACCTGCATTTTTGTTAATTGCAATGAATTAATACATATATGTATATAATATTATCTGAATTAGATTTCTACTAAGATTTGCACGTTTATCGGTTAATTGTTTTTATCTTATGTACTTAGTATGTACCTACACTATTTGCGTTTAATGTTTCTTTTCGAGTCGTATTAAATATATTTTGACATTCGTTCATACTCCACCGAACAAGAGTTTCATTCAAAATACCACGGTTCATAATAATTAATTTATGTATTTCTTTGGGTTCTATACAAATAAGGTTAGTAAATAAACTTGTATATGCATAATCTATAAGTAAATTGTATAATGTATTTGTATGCATATATTTTAATAATGTACTTATAGGATTTATTTGCTTTTTAGTATTGTATTAATGAATTTTAAAAAATATTGTTTAATTACCATATTATCTTAATCATTTATTAAATTATCAACCTTAAGCAATAAAATATACTGTAAGATTTATTAAATTATTGTCATTAATCGACAATTAAAATAAAATGTCATAATTATTTGGGTGTCACTAATTTTATTTGAAATAAATAATAAGAAATAATGATATAAACATTTGATAACAATTTCAAGTACCCATACAGTTATTCGTTTTTGAATTTCAAAAAATAAAATATCGATTTTGTTGGTAATAAATTATAGATGTGCTTGAAAATTCTCGTTAGGTTAGGTTAGGTTAGGTTAGGTTATTGTTTTACTCAATTATTTTTGAAAAGTACCGGACATTTTCAATTTTAACCCCTCAAAAGTACCAACAGATTTACGTTCTTTTTAATGTATAAAATTACTCTCATTGTCAGCAAAATGATAATGATCAACATTTTAATTTAAAGGTTCACCCCCTCCCCTTAAAAAATGTCTAGGTACGTCCCTGCGGTACTCTAAAGTCTAAAATATAATTACCTGTAT